TAGGGAGCCCCGGCTGCTGGGGAAAGGCATCTGGGGCTAGGTGTGTGGCACCAGGCCTGGGGAAGGGTAGCTGGACCAGCCTCCGGCAGGAGCCACAGGCCAGGCAGGGTGGGGGCTGTCAGGGTCTCCTGCCTTTCCTTCCAGGGATCCTTTCCTCATTGCCCCCTGGGGATCGGCGGCCTCCTCTTCCTCCTTACCTCTAGCCTCACACTATCGTCCCTGCTCTTCCTTCTAAACTCTGCGCTCAAGCCGACCTCTATTTTTTCCTACTTTTCTGGATCCTTGGTACTGATTGTATTATTCTAGATGTCGGGTGGCCCACGTGCTCTTTCCCTCGAGCCCCCCAAAAACCTGGGAACTAGCTGCTGTTACCACGTGCATTTGAAAGATGAAGAAGCGGGGCACCGGGAGTCCGAGAGCTGGGGCTTCCCCGTGCTCTCCCTCCTCTTTCCACCCCTGGGTTAAGAAGCCCTGCAGTGTAGAGAAGGATAGGCTAGTGTTGTTGTTATTATTATTGTCTAGTGTCCCTGTGTGTGTGTGTGTGTGTGTGTGTGTGTGTCGATGGAGCCTCTGCCCGTGCTCGGAGCTGTCCTGCCAGGTTGCTCAGCCGATGGGATCGATTCTCCCTGGGCATTGAAGGGTGTCTGTTTTCTCCAGACCCCGTCAGACCGTTTTGATTACAGGTCTCCAGGGTGTGCATGGAGCTGCTCTGGCAGCCCTCTCCCTTGCTTCCTGCAGAGTCGGGCACACGGCGGGTTTTCATGAGATCTCTATTGAGTGAAGGTCCTTCGGGACGGCTTTGATTGCCCCGGGCCCCTGGCATCTGGCTGGAGCTTCAGGGGGCCCTCCTGCAGGTGCTTTTTCTGCTGGGGAGGCGGTGATCTGAGCCCCGGAGTAGAGGGAGGCCCCATCCCAAGTGACCCTGCTTTGGCACCCCCAGGTCCCAGCTTTGCAGCAAGAAGGAAGTGAAGACGGACGGCTCTGCCCCTCTGCCCAGAGCTCCAGGCCCGAGGCAGGGAGGGAGCAGATCCGGGAGCCTCGGACCATCCTGGCTGAGGGTGCTGGCCAAGGAGCAGGGAGAATGGACCACTTCTTCCTAATGCTCGAGGGGAGAGGTGAGAGTGAGGGGCCCAGGGCTGGCAGGGGAGGAGTGGTGGGGGGAGGGGATCTCCCCAGGGAGGAGTCCTCTCCCTATGGCAGTTGTGTGTCTTTTTCTGTTCTCTCAACTCCTTCTGGCTCAGTAAGCATGTATTAAGCACCTGCTGTGTGCTCTACACAGTGCTAGGCCCTCGAGGTGCAAAGATGAAGGTGAAGGGTCCCTGCCCTCCATTCTGCTGGGGAGGGGGCAGCTCTGGTCCAGATCCAGGGCAGAGCTGCCTGTGGGAAAGATCTTGGCACCTCTATGCCCATTTCTCCATCCTTGGCGATGACGGAGCTGAGCTCCCCGCCCTCCCGCTTGTACAGTATGTGTCCGGCACCTACTCATTTGTGGAGTTTCACCTGCCCTCCACGGCAGGGACGGTGTCCCCTGCACCCACCCAGTACCGGGCCCACAGTGGACAATCACCGATGCTTTGGGGACCCCGAGTGGGCCAGCCCAAGGGATGGAAATGCCCTATTCCACTGTCTGTGTGAAGGAGAGCTTTAGAGAAGCCTGACTTGGGCTGTGTCAGTGGTGGAGAGAGTAGCTATGTGTGCTGGAGGATGGAGCAGCAGCACGTGGGACAGCCAGGGAGGACCGCGGCCTAGTAGGACAGAACGGGGTTCCCTCAGAGTGGGCTGAGGCACCTGTTCTGCGCAGAGCAGCTGCTGGCGCCCTTTCTCCCCCAATCACCTTGGGTCTGCGTAGATGCACATGCCTACGTGAGTCCCCAGCACACGGCCAGCACTTAATACATTCTCAGGGACGGCTGGGGGGGGGAACGGGCACCCTCGAGACCGCCGGTGCCCTGGTCAGCCCACACACCTGGCGGGTAAGTGTGGCGCCGTAGTTTGGGAGGGACATCGATAGGTGCGTCGGGGCAGCCAGGATAGGTGGCCGGGCTGACGGGGTCTGTTGGGAGAATGGGCGTGTTTGGTCTGGAGAGGAGAGCGCTGGAGGGGGGCGCAGGCTGGTTGGCTTCCTGGAAGCCGGGTTTGCTGATGCCCCCAGCCCGCCTCATCTCCCCTCCGAGGAGGGCCGGGAGCTTCTGTTCTTTGCACCCGAATCCCGCGCCCTTGTCCAGTGCCTGCTGCACGGCGGGTCCTTAACGCATGTGTGCGCTGACCCCAAGAAGCCTGGGCCAGAGCGGGCCTCCCCCTCGGCTTGCAGAGGGGAATCTTCTTCAGCTCCAGGGGGGTCACGGGTTCGAGGACTGTGTGAACTTGGAGGGCCTCAGGGCTCTGGCTCTTTGCTCATTGGTCCTTTCACGGCTTGGATAAAAGCGTGTGGCAGGCCTGTCAGTCTTGCCCACGGCAGAGCCGGGAGAGGGGCAGTAACACAACGGATGACCGTCAGGTCCGAGAAGCCAGGCAGTCAGCACCTACCGTGTGCCAGGCCCTGTGCTCAGCACTCGGGAGGGGATGCAAAGACTGACTAGGGAGGACCCCTGCCCTCAAGGAGTTTACAGTCTAATGGGGAGATAACCCGGGGATGGAGGAACACCGAGGAACGGTGTCCTGAGGGGGAGGAGAACGAGCAGAACTTCCTGCAGAAGGTGGGTTGTTGCCAGCTTTAAATCCTGCAGGGAAGCTGGGAGGGGGGGTGAGGAGGGAGGGCTTTCCAGGCAGGGGCACAGCCTGGAAATTCCTGGGGCGGGAGGTGGGGGGTGGGCGGTGTCCGGGAAGGGATGGGGAGCACGGGGTCATGAAGGGCTTCGAAGGCCCGGCAGGATCTAGTGTGTAATCCTGGAGGTGCCGGGGAGGAGGCGAGGAGGGCCAAGCCAGGACACAAGGGTTAAGAGTGTGTGACGTGTTCGGAAAGTCAAGGCGACAGATGTGGGGGGAGAGGGAGAGTTGACATGCCCTCTGAGTGGCGAGGCCAGGGCACCGGCGCCTTCGCTTTAAGAGGAAGAGAGAAGAGTTTGGGGAGGGGCACAGATGCCGAGGTCCCTCTTGGCCACGGTGAATTCATGATAGGTCATTGCAGACACAAGACTGGTTAGTGGTCTTGTGGGCCTCGAAGCGGCTTAGGGACCCCTCCTCAAAATACTGTTTGTAATGCATAAACTCAAATGCACAGGATTGCAAAGGAAACCAATCACGTCGAGATGCCCTCATCAGGATTGTCCTTTTTATTTTACCAAGCTCACGGAGCCCAGATGAGGAGCCCCTGGGCTCTGTGGTCCCGTCCACCCGTGAACTCTCATCATTCGGAGAGGCAGAGATGAGGCGGGATGGAGTCCTGGGTGGGAGGACAGAAGCAGAAGGGGGGTCCCGATGTCTTGGATAAATTTTCTAAGCCACCAACTCTGCCTTACGCTGTGGCTTGGTGTGGGGCCGAGCACGGCCATTAGTGACCGCTTGCTCCCTAGGCGCAGCTGTGCCACCCGCGCCATCTGCCAGCCCTCCTCACTCCCTCTTATGCACGAGGCCGGCCTGCGAGACTCGTCAGGGCTTGGCCGACATCTGGGTGACTGTCCTTAGGACGCTGCCTGAATTCCCGGCCTCCTGCTGGGCATGTGGAGGAGGAGGAGGAGAAGGAGAGCTTGTCCTGACCTGCTCTTGATGAAGCCACGCTGGCTTCTGCTCCCTCCTCTGCTAACCGCCGGCCCGGCCTCAGGTTCCCAGGCCAGCCCCCACGCGCTCTTCCCTCTTCAGAGACCATCTCCAGCATTTGCTTTCTCCCGTGCTGCTGTCCCGCCTCGATCCCCCGCAGAGCCCGGACGGTTCAGCTTTGGCAGCCGAGGGTGGAGCCCACCTGGGCCTGCGTGCTGGGACTTCACCAGGGCAGGGAGCTGCTCTCCCCGTTTCTCCCCATTTATCAGGGTGGGGGTGGGATGTTCTCCGTTGTCTCTGGCCGGCCTGTTCCACACTTTGGAGCGGTCATTCTCCGTGGCAGAGGAAACTGAGGCCCAGGGAGGTCACAGGATCACGGGATCCTGGGCTGGAAGGGCCCTCAGAGGCCATCAGGGCCAGCCCCATCATTTTACAGATGAGAAAACTGAGGCTGAGGGGAACATCACAGGATCCTGAGCTGGAAGGGCCTTTCCCCATCATTTTACAGATGGAGAAACTGAGGCCCAGGGAGGTCACAGGATCGTAGGATCCTGGGCTGGAAGGGCCCTCAGCAGCCATCGGGGCCAGCCCATCATTTTACAGATGAGGAAACTGAGGCCAAGGGGAACATCACAGGATCCTGAGCTAGAAGGGCCCTTCCCCATCATTTACAGATGGAGAAACTGAGGCCCAGGGAGGTCACAGGATCGTAGGATCCTGGGCTGGAAGGGCCCTCAGCGGCCATCGGGGCCAGCCCAGGCACAACCATGTTTAAGCCCTGGACGAATCACGTCTCTGAGCCCAGTTTTTCTCCCTAACCCTCCAGGGCGTGCCCTCGGAAGCCTGGACAGGAGTTGGGGGGCTGGGGGGCAGACTGGTCTCTCTCTCGTGACTTTTCTATCTTTCCTCAGGCCTGCCTTCCCAAGAGTTTGCCCTTTCCAAAGAATGGAGGCTGGAGGAGGAGGAGGAGGAGGAGGAAGGCATGACTTCGAGGCTCCTGGCAGCCATGGCCCAGGTGAGATGAGGGTTCTTCCAGACATCAGCGTGTCCGGTGGTAAGCTCCAGGGAAAACTGTGTGCGTGTGTGTAAGTGGAGTTTGTGTGTGTGTGTGTGTGTGTGTGCATGTGCAGACCTGTGATTTTGGCCACGCAGGGGGCTCCCTCTGAGCTCACACACACACACACACACTGATAACTCTCTGCACCTTAGAGAGCGGCCCAGAGCCCCATGTGAGCGCTAGTGACTTGTCCAAGGTCACACAGCCAGAATGTGTCAGAGGCGAGATTTGGACACCCTCTGAGTGGACACCACACTGTACTTATGCTCCATCAAATCCTTCTGTCCCTAAAGTGGGAGGACCCGGTGCCCCCTGTGCCCTCACATGCCCACGCATTCCCAGGTTTGGGTTTTGGGGGAGGTCAGGAGGCAGGCATACGCCTGTGGTTTCATCGATCCAGGCTTAGCTGGGACAGCAGGGACTGTTTGCACCTGACCTAGGGCCTGGCACACAGCAGGCGCCTAATGAATGCTGCACTGAATTAAATTCAGTCGATGAGGCCTCCCTTCGGATGGACAGCCCCGCGAGCCTCGTCCAGGAATGCCTTCCAGGGAAGGCAGGTGGGTGGCTTGGGAGCCGGAGCATCGGGTCTGGCCCTAGCCAGCCCAGAGGTCCGGGGGGAGCCCTGGGAGCTGAAGGCACCAGGATGGTGCTGTGGGGTGTGGCCAGGGCAAGGTGCAAGAAGAGGCCAAAGGCAGCCCCTGCCCTCAAGGAGCTTCCAGTCCAGGGGAGCCAGGAATGTGGCCCTGGGGGAGGGGGAGAGTCTTCTTTCAGACCTCTTCGGAAAGGAAGGGACGGCAAAGACGAGAGCCGCGTGCAGGGATTGGAAGCTGGGGGTAACAGATCCAGAGGGAGCGGACACATTCCTGCCGGCTCAGATGGGCAGAGAAGGCCCCAGGAGCGCTGGGGGTATGCGGGCAGGAGATTGGTGTGTGTGTGTGTGTGTGTGTGTGTGTGTGTGTGAGAGGGTCTGAAATACGCTAGGGAAAGGTAACAGAATGAAAGATGGCATTTTACGCTGCGTGTTAAAATGTAACATGTTTGGGTTCGTTTTGTGTATGTTTATACAACCACCCGGGTTTACTTTGTTGTTCAGTCCTGTCTGACTCTTCGGGACCCCATTTGGAGTTTTCTTTTCTTTTTTTTTTTTTTGCTTTTTTGGTGAGGCAATCAGAGTTAAGTGACTTGCCCAGGATCACACGGCTAGGGTCAGGTGTCTGAGGCCAGTTTTGAACTCAGGTCCTCCTGTTTCAGAGGCTGGAGCTCTATCCACTGCGCCACCTAGCTGCCCTCTGTTTGGAGTTTTTTTGGCAAAGTTACTGGAGAGGTTAGCTGTTTTCTCTTCTCCAGCTCATTTTCCAGATGAGCAAACTGAGGCAAACATTTAAAGTACTGAAGGGTTAAGGGACTTGCCCAGGGTCACGCAACTAGTGAGTGTCTGAGGCCAGATTTGAACTGAGGAAGAAGGGTCCTCCTGACTCCTGGCCCCACGCTCTGTGCACTATGGCACCGCCTCGCTGCCCATTTACCCAATAACAGTTTATTTCAGCTCCTGGAATAGCCTGAGGTTTTTCAGACCCTCCAGCCAGGTCCAAGATGTTTTTCCCATGGTCATATTGGTTGCTGCTTGAGTTCTTTCCAAATTTCTTGATATTTCTCAAGAAATACCTCCTAGTATTCCAGTATATTAATGTGAGGGGTGGTGTGGCTGGGGGTCTGTTGAGTCCAGCCTCTGATGCCCACTGGCTGCAGGACCTGGGCTATTGGCTTGACCCCTCAGTGCCCAAGGAATGTCTCTCTGCCTGTAAGTGCTGGAGGGCATACCGTGGGAGAGGGAGTACTCTCACTGGGAGTACCCTGTGTGATTGATGTTTGTTAACATACCACAATTCGTCTACCCGTTCGCCTGTTGCTGGTGATTTTCAGGTGTTTTTGTAATTACAAGTAATGGCACTATGAAAATCTTTTGAGCAGAGGTCTCTTCATTTGGGACAGCACTTTCAGGGTCTGTAGCCGGCAGCAGTATGTTGAAAGAGTGTGACTGGTTTTGTAACTTTGTGAATTGCTAGATTTCTTTCCAGAAAGATTGTTACTTTGCGATGTCTCCGGCCACGGAGGCGTGTACCTGTTTTTGCACAGCCCCGCCAACATTGACTTTTGTTGCTTTTCATTATTTTTGCCAGGTGGAGGTCTGTGAGGTTTTGTTCTCGTGTTATTTTAGTTTGCATTTCTGGTTCTTAGTGATCAGAGTATTTTTTCCTAATGATTATGAATGATCTATATTTAAATTATTCATATTCTTTGACTATTCTTCCATTATGGATTGGGAGTTACCACGGGGCCTTTTTAAATGGTTTTTATTGATGTCTTTTGTTTTTATGTTACAGTCATTTGGGAAAAAGAAAACAACCAAATATTTTTGCCTTCATGCATTTGATATATGTAAAAGCTTTTTAATTTTTTATAGTCAAAATTGTTTTATTCTTTGTGATCTCCTCTTTTCCTTGTTTAAAAGTCTCCCATCACTGTGGTTGTGAAACGATAGTGAGTACATTCTCTTCCTATTTTTAGAAAATTCAGGTCACTTATCCATTTTGAGCTTATGGGACCGTCACTGGGGCTTCTCACAGTTTGCATGCAGTTAAATGTCAAGGTTTTGTTCTAGTTCTATTTTCCCCAGCCTTTTTCTCTTCAATTTTTTGAGGGTTATTGTACAGAATTTGTTATTTCGATAGAATCCGGCATTCTTGTTCTTAATAATTTTATTGGCTGAATACGAACAAAAACCTCCTTCCCAGATCAGGACAAAGACATCACTGCATGTGCTCCTTGCTCTTCTTAATAGCTATCTTATGCTTGTCTGTCAGCCAGCTGGAGTTCATTGGGAAACGTCATGTTACATAAGGTCCTAAGTATCATTCCCACCAGGTTGGCCCTCAGTTTTCCAAAGGGTGTTTCCTCAATCAGTAAGCCTTTCCCCAGTTTTTCTCTTCTATAATTTTAACGAACACTCATCTTTTATAGACATTTAGTTGGATATCTGGAGTGTGTATTCTACCCCATTGATCTGCCTCTTGGTTTTTGTTTTTGGAGGAATTTTGCCCATTTATTTAATTTTTAGGATAACAGCTTTGTGATATCATCCAAAGCCTGGGAGTGTAAGGACACACTTATTCCACATACCCCTGGATATATTTTGCTCTCTTATTTTATTTGTCATTCTTAATTCTTTTTAAAAAAAAATATTGATGTCTTTTTTACATCACCTCCATTTCTACATGTATCTCCTTCCCCACCCCAGGAGCCATCCCTTATAACATACAATAAAAAAGAAGGGGGTGGGAGGCAGTTCACCAGAAGTAGCCAGCACATCTCCCTGGTTGTGTAGCATTTGCAGCGTTCCACAACCGTAACGCTGCATTTCCTCAGAGGAGGAAGAGAGGTGTATTTTCTTGATGCTCAGTAGCAAAGCTTGGTCATGGGAACAGAGCCTTGAAGGTTTTGTGGCGGTTTTTCATTCATCTACATTGTTGCTATTCAGCATTTTATGCGCTGGCTTTTTGGTTCTGCGTACTTTGTTTGCATCAGTTCATATAAGTCTTCCATATTTCTCCAATCATTTCTGTTGTCACAGTCATTGTTTGCACCGTTTTCTTGGTTTTTCATACTTAATTTGCATCAGACGCCTTCCATGCTTCTCTGAATGTTTTAGGCCCAAGTTATTACAATAGAGTAAAACTCCATGACATTTATGAACCACAATGTAGCCATTCCCCGGTCAATGGCATCAAATCTAAAACATGTTGCTAAGAGTATTTTTGTGTGGTGGGGCCTTTCTTTTTTAATCTTCTCAAGTCTATTCTGAGAAGTGCCTCTAAGTGAAAGGGGATGAACATTCTAGTCACATTCTTAACATAATTTCAAGTGATCATTTTTCCAGACTATATGGTCCATTTCTCAGATCCACCAGTAGTGCATGAGTGTGCTTGTCTTTCTGCAGCACCTCCAACGTTGATTATTTTCTTTTTCTACTTCTTTTTTTTTTTTTTTAGGCAATTGTGGTTAAGTGACTTGCCCAGGGTCACACAGCTAGTAAGTGTCAAGTGTTTGGTCTGAGGCTGGATTTGAACTCAGGTCCTCTGGACTTCAGGGCCAGTGCTCCATCCGCTGCGCCACCTAGCTGCCCCTATTTTCTTCTTTTTACACAGAATGAAAACAAGGGGCTGGGCCAAAATTTACCATATATCAGGTAAATAAAGAAAAAGCAGGAGCTTTCAGACAGGGCAAAAAAATAAACCAAAAAAAACATTCACAACATAAAAAGAGATTAACAAGGAAACTGCATTATACCAAAGGAACTGTGGTCAACAGGCCAGTATCAGTATTAAACTTGTATCCTCCAAATACCTAGCATCAAGACTTCATAAAAGGAAATTCACTGAATTATAAGAAGACATAGATGTTAAAACAGCAGTGATAGGAGATTTAATATCCTCTTAGTTTTGGTGAATCTCAGCAGAAAGATAAAGAAAAGGGAAAACATGGAATTGAACACATTGCTGGAGAAAGTAGAGCCAAAGGAGTAAATGGTATCTCCTAAACAGAACTGCTAAAGAATATATGTGTTTCTCAGCATCTCCTTTCACCCCATGGAACTTCTTTCTTTTTAACTGACCTTGTATTAGGGCACAGAGATACTGCAGATGGATATAAAATGGCAGAAATAGTGACCACATCCCTTGTAGACCACAGTGCAGTCAAGATGATCATCAGTTCAGGGGTCATAAACAAAAGACACAGGGCCTTGTGAAGACTTAACACAGAAATCCCCGCTACTGAGTGGGTCAAAGAGCAAGTCATGGAAACAATAATTACGTGAAAGAAAGGGATCGTGATGAAACAACAGACCTGACTTTTTGAGATTCAGCTAAAGCAGTCCTGCGGGCAAAATTATGTCC